ACTTTACAAACTTCTCTATGAAAATCTTAAATAACGTTCTTGTTGGTGTTAGGTACCATCCAGTTGGTTCAGACTCAGAACCACCTGTGCGCAACAGAAGGAAACCCTGCCCAGTCCTGTGCCATCCTCCCAATTGTCCCCATGCCGAGCCCTTTGTTCCAGCCGCTGGACCAATCCACCTCGATGAGGGCTGCCTCTTTTTCATTGCCCCGCCACTTAACCAAGCATGTAAAAGCAGAGACACTTGAAAAACACACCAAGACACCCATATAGCTATCGCCTTGCTTCAACAATTCTCAAGTGACCAACCTTCTGAGTGTTCAAATAGGGCAGGCTAACTTTTAAGTTGACAACTTTGTATGGCCTAAGAATGATGTGATAAATATCCAAAGGGCTCTTGGCAGAAAAAAAGATTTCCTATCTCTGCTCTATGGGGTCACTACGAATTGGAATCTACTGGATGGCAGTGGTTTTGGGTTTTGATGGTTACATTGAAACCTTAGAAAGAAAGAGGAAGCAGGCGTGCTATTTGCAACGGCCCTCAGCACAAAACACAAGTCGGCAAGTGCTGTGTTGGTGGCATGTCAAGTGGACTCTGACTCACAGTGGCCTGATAGGACACAGCAGAACTGCCCCACGGTTGTAGCATAACAACAGTTGTGTGGGCGGGTTCACAATACGAGGTAGAAACAAAGAACACGGACACATGGAGAAGACCGCCTTTGTTCAGGAGCCATGCTATGCAGATGTTGAAAACGGGTCCACATTTAGAAGGGAATCATGAAAATCTTGGGACTTTGGCAAATATTTGCAAATGAAGGGTATTAAAAAATATAGAAAATGTATCGAGGTTAGCTGTTTTGACTGGAATAAACCTCTGTGAGAAAGAATAAAATGATAAGACGCTGGAGCATTTCTGGAAATTTCCAGATAGTTCCCCAGAATCAGAATGATTAAGAGAGAGAATGTATGACTGGTTATGAGGAAGGGTGGAAATTTTTGAAGGACAGGCTGATTATGTAAGTTTTCGGCTGTGGTGTTTGAAACTGTTGCGATTATATTTTAGTTATTAGTAGTAATTTAGGGAAATCTCCGTGCTTCTAGAGAAACATTTGGCTCTAATAAGAAAGAAACGCCATTGTTTGTGAATTCCCAAGTGGATGTAAAGAACCATTCGCTTGCTAAACCTCTTAGGAGGGCCAGAGCAGGTTTGACCTCGACAAGCTGTTGCAGCGTCTGATCAAGGTACCGCCTGGAACATGTTAGGATTAGCAGTTCAAGAAGGCGGGAGGTAGAGTCAGACCTGGATTTAAATCCCTTTAGGTTGTACACCATGTGACCTGGGGCAGGTTATCCAGGGAATGTTGCCAGAGTAAATAAACAGTAACTATGATTCTCTCTGTTTGCATGGCAGTTACTTAGAGCTCAGGGTACCTGAGCCCCAATAACTGAGAGGGCACTTCCTGTGTACCAAAAAACTCACTGCCATTCTGACTCAGAGCGACCCTATAGGACAGATTAAAACTGCCCCTGTAGGCTTCTGAGGCTCTAACTCCTTAAAGGAGCTGAAAAACTCCTTTATTGAACTACTGAGCTTGCAGTTACCTGCCTACCATATAACCCACTACAATACTGTGTGCCAGGCACTATTATAAACACCTTTTATGATTGATATCATTTCATTCTCAGAAATCCAACAGGAAGATACTATTACTAAAATCAATCCCATATTCTAGATGAATGAGGAGGTTAAATGACACACCTAAAGTTACCAGTGGGCAAGTTGGCATGCTGATTCCAAGTTGCCTTACTCTCCCACCTCCCCACCTTCTCAAAGGAGTGTCTCATACTCTTTCCAATTCACGGTTCTCAATCTCCGTGCTCTAGTTCTCTCGGGTGTCTTTGAATGATGTTCACAACTTCCAAAAGCCTCTATCGAAAAATTAAAAACATGCAACTAGACCATACGTTTCTTTAGGTTGGAATTCACAAGCTCTCTCAGGCAGTTACCTATACAAAAACATTGCAGGATTTCTTTCTCTCTCTCTCTCTCTCTCTTTCCTTCCCTCCTTTCTTTTTTCCCTAAATGGGAATTTGAATCATTACTTAATGAAAGCAATTTAGTGGAGGAGATCTTTCTAGCATGGGCCAAACTATGGCCAGAGAATAAAGGGTGTTTTGCATTGAGGCATTGGTTGTGTACGTGTGTATGCATGTTGCTCAAACAGCCAACATGCAAAAACCCTGCCTTTATTTTTAACTTCTGCGATGCTTCAATTTGACTAGGAGACCACAAAGTATTAAAAATATTTTCCTTGATTGTGATAAAATGTCTTGCTTGAATCGCATTTCATATTTGAGTCTTACTTATTCATCAAAACCATCACACTCTCAAAACGGGGTCAGGAATTGGGAAGCTGATTACAAGAGCTGCTTCCAGGCTACACACAAGATGTAAATCAAGTACAGAGCAGGTTTTTTGTCCTTGTAAGTTGTCGCCCAGAAACGAAGTCTTTTTAAAGAAATTGTTCAAACAGCACTCGGGTCTTTTCAGGACCCAGGCAACATGGGCGATGTGGGTGGGACAAAACAAGCAAACAAAACGTATACATTAGAGAGCACTCGCACTTTCCCTGTGATCTTGGACAAACCATGGGAAGGCAGCAGGCAGTTGGTGCCTTTTGGTTTGGCCTGGTTCTTTTGTGTGAAATTGTTCTGAGCCCACGTTGGGGAAGATCTGCCTAGGCCTCTCCTGCTGGTTACGGTGACTGGTGACGCGGTTCCGAGAATTGGATGAAATTAGAACTACACGTGCCTTTCTCCAAGCCATCCTCTCCCCTAGTGTGGGGCTTGGATGTTGTCTGGGGTCTGACTGGGGGATCCAAGGTCCCTTTTGCGGACCGGACCTGGCTCGGTTCTGACGTCCAGCAGGTTCTAAGGAGTGCCCTCCACTGCCCTTGCCGGAGGAAGCGGTGTCTGCTGCCCTCACTGTGGGGTCTGGGGGTTCAAGGGCTTGTTGTGGGTCCCATGTTGTCCCCTGAGTGGGGCCTGGACCCTGGAGGGTCGTGGGTCCTTTGTGGGCTCCCCGCCACCCCTGGGTAGAGTCCAGAGGCTCCTGGCACCCCCGCCCCCAGACCTCTCCCCCTCCCCACTGGTGGTTACATTGAAACCTTAGAAAGAAAGAGGAAGCAGGCGTGCTATTTGCAACGGCCCTCAGCACAAAACACAAGTCGGCAAGTGCT